TGCATGCATGCTTACTTGTAATATGTCTCATTTGCCCTTTGTTTTGTGTTTATTTGCAGATTGTTTAGTGAAGTAAACTCTGTTTTTAAAGTAATAGCATCTAGTTAAACACAAGTTGTGCAATTCTCACCTTACTACAGTTTTCTATCACCGTAACTCCATTAACTTCACTAGAGTTTCTCCTGCTTAAGTGAAGAGAATGAGGTCCGTGAACTCTGTCTGTTTTCCCTCTGTCCCTAAGTTCACATCAGCATCATTTAGCATGTTTCATTGGAATAGCAATGGCTTTATTTAGCATTTTATTCAGAAAGAAATCAAGACCAAACCCTCTCATCCTAATGTTTCAAGCTTTATGACAGTTTGGATCTTCAGATCTGAGTAGAAATTAAGAATTAATTCTTCTGACTTATACATGTTCACTGATAACACCTTATTATCAGAGTTAAAAAAATATTTCATTTGACTTATTTTTGTGGCTATGGTAAATCAAATAGAACAACTGCCCAGCTTAAGAATACTGATATAATAATATACCCTTTCCCAGGAAATAAAACAATCCATCTAGAAGTATAAGAATTGCAGCACAGTGGGTCCGAAATCCCATTCTTTGCATGCTTGCAACTCTGAGAAAAAGTCTATTGAACTGTTAGGTGCCCAAGGAGAGCAGGGCCGAGATCTTTATACCATTTTTCCCATGTATGGAGGGTTATGTAATGAAAGCAATGCTCTCTCAAATACTAAGAATCTTGCTAGATGTTTATTTCGGGAACAAACAGTTACCATGAACATATTGGCTGCAGACAGGACCTTCTTCGGTGAATGAAGTCTGGAAACAACAGCAAAAAGAAATTTGCTTTTAGATCAAACAGTATCATCTTACTTGACTATCAAAAGCCACTTGCCAGGGGAAGTGATCTGAAGTTAAACCAGGGGAGGGCAGGGAGCGGGGCGGGGGCGGGGGGGAAGGCAGTTGATGATTTTCCGTAATGTTTGAAAGCTGAAATTAACCTACAGTGACAAAACTGGATATGTTCCTGGGTTCATACTGCAACCCTATTTACGAAGCAGCTCTAGGGGGTTCAGATGGCTCTTGTTTTGATCGTGTTTGTGACCATATATATCAACGTTAAAGCAAGCAGGATTTTTCTTTGAACAAGTATTAGGTGAATACATTTCCTTTATGGATCAAATCCTGCTCTTATCAAATGGAACGGAGGCAGAATCAGGCTTTGGATGAATACCTGTGCAAATAAGAGCATGCAGACACAGACAGGAATATTTCTTGGGCAATTTTATTATTCATTTAGTGTCCTGTTTAAATAATTTCAACCAACCTATTGGGAAATAGAGCAAGTGTGAGAGGTGACCGGTGACACATCAAGAGTAATGAAATGAAAAGCCCAAATGAACATATTGTGAATGACTCTTTGGCTGGAAACTGTTTGCCTAAGCTATTCTTAGTGAATATTTTGAAGTAAAGAGCACTTTCCCTCTGAGGATTGATTGTACCGCCCTGATCTGATGTGGGGTTCCCAACTGGGAATAAGAGATCTGAGCCCAGAAAATATGGCCACATTCATCCAAGAGTTCATTTCAAATGAATAGTTTTATCAGCTCTTCCATAAAAGAGAAAAATATTTCAAATGTTTATTTTTAGCTTTGCACATGAATAATACAAATAAAATTATCTGAGTATTTAATGTGAAGCAATTTTTTAAAAAATCTCATATATACATTAATAATTGTATATAGCTTAGTAGGGCTTTTTTTTTTTTTTTTCAGTAATGCCAGGACCATGCTTTTAAACAGCATGTCTCAGCTGTTGTGAAGTCCAAGGTAAAGTTATGTGCCCTCAAACACCCAAGAAATAGTATTATCCAGTATGACACATGCCTAGATATGTCTTACTGTGATCATAATATAGCCTTAAGGTAAGAGTACAGGACAATCACTCGTGTGTTATTTTTTTCAATGCTGTTTATGGTTATCTACATCAAAGAAAAGCTTCTGCTAGAGCTATTTATGTCGTTGATCAATAGAACTATTAGTGATGGTTTATAAATGCGTAAGAGACAAGTTTTAAATTTATCATGTGCTTTAAAAATGAAATCTATTAGTACATTAACTTGACCATGTTTCACCACTGAAAAGCCTGTTCATTTTGAAAAACACTTTTGAAAAAGCAGAATGTACCACCATGACACGAGAGATACTTAGAGTGTCAAACAAAAACCATGGCTGTGAATACCCAAAGCATGAATTAAAGAACTGGTGTTTTCTTGTGCTGAGGGCTTACTGCGAGGGTAGTGACTGTCCACATTTGCTATCAGTAGGACCTGGAAAGCTGAGTACTTCACACAGGCAGACTTGGCATCCTGCAAAACCACCTCGCAGAATCCTGCCCTGTGTCCTTCATTCATGTTCTCCTTCAGTCAGTGGGACTTTGGGACACGGGTTGGGGCTTGAAGGTGTTGAAGGGTCTCAGCACAGAAAACATTGTTGATGAAGATTCACATCATTGAGGTGTTTTTCTAAAAACTTTTGGTCCCCCTTATAGGTGAGGCCTATAGACCTATTGGCAGCCCTTCTGATGAGTGAGGATTAAAACCAGTGACGTCTCAGCGTCCAGGCTTTTGGACCTACTTTTGTTGTGTAGTCACATGCTGGAGGACAATTTCCTTTCTGATGTACTAACATTGAAGTCAGTGATGATACAGCACAGGTGAGTTTTGCTGTTTGAGTTTATTGGTTAGCTGTGATGGGAAAAACATGGTGAGTGGAAGTATGTAAACACAGGAAGACGGTTAGATGCACTCTTTAGACGTGGGAGGTGCTGTTTGGAATTAAGAGCAGTCTCTGCCCTGTAACACCACTGTCAGGGAGAATATACCATCTAATTCACCATCAATACAGATACCCAGATTCTTTTATTCTAACATGGAAAACCTGGTGATGTCCGAGAACTTGTAAAGCCTAGATGTTGTCCCTCTGCTTCCTCTTCATCGGTCCTGTGGGGACCATTTTCTCCTGTGAGAACTGGGCCTTCCCGTTCTCCGCAATGTTACTGTGAATCATCCTGCTCAACCTGCCGAGACTCAAATGGAAGAATAAGATTTTCAAAATTATGAACAACAGAGGGAAAAAATGAAACGAGAACAATCCTGGAGGGTTCACCTTCATAAAACAGTGTGTATTAACTAATGTGTGTTCCCTAACTTACCTTATACCTGAGTTTCATTGCCTTGCATTAGTGAGGTAGTTAATTTAGCAGGAGAGATGAAAGGAGCCAAAGAGATGACAGCAGGCATGAGTGAGAAAGAAGTGTAGGTCTGTAATGGTGGGCAGTGGAAAAGTGTTTTCGACATGCATTTTGTAAATGTTGAGAGTGTAAAGGAGTGCATAGAGAGGAGTGGGAGATGTGGGACCTTTTCTATTGTTTCATCCACGATTGTGTCCTGGTTATCTTCTGATAATAGGGAGGGCGAAGCCCTGCAGTGCAAGGCAACATGTCTAATCTTCTTGTGTAGCTTCGACCACTTACAGTGAGGGGTTAAAGTAAAAACCCCTCAACTAAAATGTTTCCTGCTTGGGTAGAAAAAAAAAAAAGATATATATATATGTACTTCTTTTTAGACCTCAGGCTTCTTAGGGGAAATGCTGTATCCAAGGGCTGTTTCATGAGCCGGGAGTGCTGTACTAAACCTTTGGGGCAAATGTTTGCATTGAATTGTTGAAAGAGTCTGAGATTGGCAACGCCACCCTGCCCTTGGCTAATGAGCCTTCCCCGAGAGAATATCAAGTGCAATTACCTTTCAGGGAATAACAACATACCAAAGAACCATGGACCCTGCAGAGAAAAACGAAACACACATTCGTAGGTAGAAACCGCTATGAATCAGCATTAATTATCCAATAGAGGGAACAGGGTTGCAATAAGTCTCAGTTCCTGACTCACACCATAGATCACAGCACATGCGAGCTACTTATAGAAAAAACATTCGCAAAGTTCAGCTGGCCCTAACCCCGCTCCCCTCCCGCGTACGCTCCTGAGCTGTGCTCGGGGGTTCGCTTCTGGGACCAGTTTCCCGACCCCCGGCTCGGAGGCGGCTGGGAGCGGCCATAACGGGGGGCTGGCGGCAGCGAGGGACTCGGGAACGGCAGCGGGACGGTTCGTCCAAGGCGAAGATCGACGCGAGGCTTCCCATGCTCGCCGTGGCCGAGGACACCGAGCTTCCCTCCGAAGTCCCCGAGGAGGTCGGGCGGCCGGGCAGCGGCTGCCCCCGCCTGCGGAGCCGGCCGAACTCCGTGCCCCCCCACGGCTGCTCGTCCCGGCAAACGCAGAAACGGGGGGACAGTCCCGGGCGGTGGGGTTTTGCTGCGCACGTTCCTAGGAAGGGGACCGGGCGGGACGGGGCGGGGGGAGCGGGGAAACGGCGTGTTTGGGCTCGAGCGATGAAAAAACCCCCGTGGAAGCGCACGCCCGGCGCGGGCTCCAGAGCCGCCGGGGGCTGCCGGCCGCCGCG